CAAGCAGCAGGAGATTGATTAATTTATTATGTCTCAAGGAAAACTTCTCATTTACATATTCTGCATTTTAGATTCCTTGCGTCAGAGCAGAAACTGTATGTTGATGGTTTTAAGCTGATAATTAACTAAGCAAACAATTCAAGCTCTTCTCACTGTTTATATTTAGCAGACATACTAATCAACAACAGTGAAATAACATTTTATTATGTTTAATTCAATTGCACTCAAGTTCAGCTTTGCAGCTGTGAAGTCCACTTATATTTAATCATGTTCATTGGCTTGATTTCACACAGAGGCACAGTGCAGTGGTTCAACGTGAATCTCGATTGTTAATCTGTCGGCACCTTCATGTTTTCTTACTGTTCCTCAGAGATCTTGTCTCATCTCGAGCCATCTTGCACATAAACACATGGAATATACACCTCCCCTTCATCCTGTCACTACCCTGACCTTGAACCTATGGGGGGTGGGGGTTTGGTGTTATTGTGTATGTTGGAACAGTGAATGATTTTAGAGTGAAACATAAAGATGAAAAACGAGGGCTGGAATAGACGTGGGCTGGACCACAATGCACGACAGAGCTTTTTGTACAAACTGGTGATGTTCTTAACAAGATTCAATGTGTGGAAATCACATGTAAATGTGCGGCACAGACTGACCTTTGCCCTCTGCGTGTGAGCATCTGTGACCAGTGGCTGACCCGTAATCCTCTCCTAAATGGTTTGACAATAGAGAGACGTATTGATCTGGTCAGCCGTCTGGCTAAAGGGTCAAGAGCCTAACACGCACACGCACGCACCGGAGTCTGCTTTGTGTCTGCAGGTAGAGTGGCGTTATCATCCCTGGAGCTCCCTTTGTCTCTCCACCACCTGTAGTGGTTGCAATACCCACTGTTTGGATCAGGCCTCTGTTCAGCTGTAACAGACAGGCTTCGTACATGTGGTCCGACTGGCTACTTGCTATATATGCCACGTTAATTAGGATTACAATGAAGCTATGTGTAAAACAAAAAGAGAAAAAATAACACATTAGAGGGTGTGTGACAGGCTCAGGAAATAACTTCTTTTTCTCTGTAAGACAGCACAAATTGCTTAAAGTAAAGCTTGTTCATGAAAGCCTTCGTAACCTACACCACCCAACCCCCCCTCAAAAAAATAACACATGTCTGCAAGCTCCCTGTCAGAGCCCCCAGCTCTCCCCACTGCGTCTGGGCGGCTGCTCTCCTCTGGGCTCTCCCAAAGAGGGCCGGCCAGCTCCCACATCTGGCCAGACAGAAGAACAGAGAAAACACTGGGAAATTCTCCTGCCGACCACTAGTTCTGCCTCTTGAATACTGAAACCACCTCTCTCTCTGTCTCTCTCTCTCTCT